GTGTGTACGTGAACATGTTTGAGTGTATGTACGTGTCTAATAATACAGCCGGGCTCGTGTCACCTACCCCGGCTGATATTAACTAGCAGCGAATGCTAAATATTGATTCGCCCATGTCGTGGGGAGCAGCTAAGCAGCATGACTGGGATAATTCAGTCAGACGTGGCCATTCAACAGTCTCGCGGGATGCAAACCCATATAACCCAGATCGCCAGCAGTGCTTGTTACAAAATATTGAGGATATGCATGTGAACCAACGATATCAAGCGTACGGGAAACTATCGCCCCCCTTGATCAAGCCGATGCCCGTGATATCATCTTTGGTAGGATCCCTTTCCAAATCCATGGGGCTAGAATCTGGAGCAGTTTCTGAGGTGCTTGGTTGCTCTCCACAACCACAATCATAGGTTTCGTCCAAGTGGGCACAATCGAAACTGGGCTTTTGGAGGCGTTCGTTGACTTTGTTATGGACTGCACAAAGCCTAGGTAAACCGTGAATAGAATTCCAGCCGTGTAAATAATAGCGCGTTTACCAAGTTGAGGCCGAGCGTCGTGAAGAAGTCTGAAACGATGTCAGGATTACTATTCAAACAAGGCATTCATGCAAAGCTCACCTGCGGCGGAAATGTTTTCAAAAGCTGTTGGAATTCAGCAGCACACTCTCCGCATGGGTAGAGTCTAGATGTCAAATGGAGATACGTCCGGAGTGCTTCTCGTTCATCTGGTGTCGGTTTCTAGTATCTTGGTCACAGGGGAAGTCAAAAGGAACTGCATCGCGTACTTCCGGAAACCGGAGTGTCATAGTATGTCTGTTGTTTCATTAGCAGATCCCTCGGGGGGAAATCAATACGAGACGAACAGTAGTTTCCATGTTGCGCGACCTAATTCAGCCCTACTCGGAATATCAAACGCTGCCCAGGAACGACCTATTGTGTGGACAACGTACTTTGCCGTCTCATTGCCTAGCTTTGACATGATAACATGCCCTTCCCCAACAGGGCCAGGAGGACCTGCCTCCTGGGCTTGCTTGACACTGCCTTCACCAAAGTATTCCCCCGTCCGGAGATCCATATATGTTCGCGTGGGTGGGTGTAAAAACGCAACCATGGTCATCAGAAGCTAATTTCTTGTTCAAAACTAATGGCTTTCTAATTTATTCGGGGCTCACCAGCATGACCACGATGATGACGAAGGACTTTGCAAAGCGCGAAATCATCGTCACGAAATCGTACACGTAGCTATACGAGAAGGATGTTGGGCTGTCAAATCGCCTCCGAGTTGCGAGTCGTTCAACCTTGAGTTTGAGGGGCTCGGACTAATATGAATATGACAGCTTCCATGAAATTGCGTTTGTCCTTTGTGTCTCAGGCTCCATTGCCTTTAGCGATCGAACACGTGTCATGGTCTAAATTTATTGTATGTGTAGATAAGATTAGATGCGCTTGGGAGATAACGATCGAGTCAGATATTTCACCCTTCTCGTTGTCAATCACTGCCAGCGCAAAACTCATTCACGCTCCTACTATTCTGACTACAAAGTAGTTTGCGCTACAAGCAAAGCGTACAACAAAGATGTCGATCTACATCGATGAAGCCTCTGGGTCTGACACGAACGGAAAAGGCACAGCAAACGAGCCTTATCAAACACTTGGTTTCGCGCTTTTTACTCATGGTACCACGGCCTCACTACTCACGCGCAAGGACGCTGGTAGCCAGTATGAGGAACCTACACAGTCTTCCCTAAAAAAGGCGAAGAAGACTGCCGAGGGGTTGGAGAAGAAGCGCAAGAAACAAGAAGAATTGGCCGAGCGAGAGGCGAAGGAGAAGGGTGAAGAAAAGGAGAAGAGAGAAAGGTTGTTGGAACAAAGCAAGGTAATTGTTTTGACAGAAGATGCCACGCTTCCGCCAGCTACAAAGGTCAGATTATTAGTGCAGACCTTCGAATATAGTTAACCTAGCCTCAGGCAAAAATTGCCAATCTCACGGAATTGCGATCGAAACGAATCCGCGTGTTTGGATGGGTCCACCGTCTGCGCCAACAGAAAGATATAATATTTATTGTTGTGCGTGATGGCACAGGGTATCTTCAAACCGTGCTATCTGGCCAAGTTGTAGGGTCCCATTCTATCTAATCTTTTTGAGCTCACTAAATAAAACATTCAACAACACAGGCGCAAACGTATGAAGCTTTGACACTCACGCTTGAATCTTCCGTGGAGGTGGTTGGAACCTTGCAAGCGGTTCCCGAAGGCAAGACAGCTCCTGGAGGGCACGAGCTCGCTGTGGATTATTGGCGCGTCGTTGGGACCGCACCCGGAGCAGAGGATGCATTCAGTAACAGATTAAATGAGGTAAGATCTACAATTAATCTGACCTATTTCGTCGAGTCATAAATTTACCTCGATAGAAATCTGACCCTTCCATTCAAGCTGACCTCCGCCACCTGGTGCTTCGGGGGGAAACTGCCTCGAGTGTCCTCCGTTTACGTTCACATCTTCTAAGCGCCTTCAGAGAGTCACTTTCCGCTCGTAGCTGCCTTGAGGTTACTCCTCCTTGCTTAGTACAAACACAAGTCGAAGGCGGCGCCACACTTTTCAAATTGGATTACTATGGACAACCCGCCTTCTTGACTCAGAGTTCCCAACTTTATCTTGAAACATGCCTCCCCAGTTTGGGAGATGTATTTTGTGTGCAAGAAAGTTTCCGGGCGGAGAACAGGTGCGCGACATCACTACTAAAAAAACATAGTATTAACCACCTTTGCAGCCACACACGTCGTCATCTGAGTGAATATACACACCTAGAGGCGGAACTCGCGTTCATCACCTTTAAAGATCTCATGGACCATATTGAAGATATTGTATGTCCTTTCACTGTTACCCGAGCTCGACTTACAAATCCCCATTAACAGATCTGTGATACCGTCACCCTTATTACCCAAAACCCCACATCCGCTGCTCTCCTTAAGCATTTGAACCCCGATTTCACGCCTCCCCAACGACCTTTCTTGCGCCTCTCATATGTTTCCGCTATTAAATGGCTCAACGAACACAAGATTCAACGACCAGCGGAAGATGCTCAAGGCAACCCAATCAAGGACGACCATGGCAAGATAGTCATGGTCGACCACGTCGTCGGGGATGATATCGCTGAAGCGGCGGAAAGACAAATGACGGATATTCTCGCACAGCCCGTCTTCCTCTATGGATTTCCAAAGGAGCTTAAGTCATTCTATATGAAGGCGATGAGTGTGACTGAGGAAGGAGGGGAAGGCAAAGCGTTCACCGAGAGTTGTGATTTATTAATGCCAGGAGTTGGAGAAATCGTTGGTATGTTTTGTCAGGTTTGTGCAACAGCCCTCATTCATCATGTACAAAGGGGGTTCGATGAGGATATCTGAGATGGAGGAACTTCTCGCCGGCTATAAACGGGAAGGAATTGACCCCGAGCCCTACTACTGGTTTACTGATCAACGCAAGTACGGTACTTGCGAACACGGGGGTTATGGCCTTGGCGTCGAGGTACGTGATCTAAAGAGATGCCTCTTGTGTAATAGTCAACCTGTTCATAGCGTTTCCTCGCATGGCTGTCCAAGAGATTCACGGTTCGGGAGTGTTCCCTCTACCCCAGGTATATATGCTCTTTACAATGACGCACTGGCTAACTCTATTAAAATTACAGGTGGCCAGGACGTGCGACGCCATGAGTTGATGTTTTTACGCGGGGTATTGATCTAGTATGATCACTTTCCAACACCAGAATTCTATAGATGTGGGTTTTATTATTGGATCTGGCTTTCTTTGTACCTTCAATCTAAAGCACACCCGTATAAATCCTTGGCTACTGTTCTCCATTTTTCTTTGTCAACCGCAAAAGACTCTGCATATTCAACCTCCAGGTGATGCAGTCTCTTGCCCACAATCACGAGGCTGTGCAAGGGTTCGCCGAATGCTTCTTCTCCGTGCATCGACAAATCCCCCAGGGTCCCAGCGACGATGCGCTGGTGATCCTCCCCGCCGCCCACGCGAGAGAGCGCAATCGCGAGGGTTTCAGTTGTGAGAATACCGGATTTACGATGAGATTCTGTTTCCAACAATTGAGAGACTGCCACCGGAACTGACATATAGCGCGGTGGTTCGTATATCTTGCGCCCCCTAGTTTGATTTAGTAGGCGGCTATCAACGGAGTGAATGAATTACCGGGCAAGATTCTCCTCACTTTGTTCCTTTACCTTGATATCAAGGAGGACGAGCGTATGAAGGCCGAGCTCAGCATTCTCTTTAATACGGTCATAAAAGCTATCTGGCTTCCATGTGTCGGTGAAGAACACAAGGGATACTGTCTGCCCAAAGTTATAAAGTTGGAGACCGCACGCGCCGACCGCATTCATGATAGACGCGTTATGTATTACGCGAGTTGGGATGTTGAGGGCCCTGGCTCGAAGAATGATGTCTGTATGAGTTGTTGCCCTGAGATTTCAAATGGGTATGAACTTGAGAGAGGGGAAAACGCAGGAAGATACCCGAAAGGATCCCCGACGACAAGAAGGGAAACGTCCTCCTTGTGGGCGTTTTCCAAGATGACATCGGATTGTGTCTCAACCATGTCCCGGTCAGCCAGTATGAGGGATTTTCCGTAAAAGGCCTCCTTTCTTGCGAGATTCAGGGTGAAAACCTATGTAGATGATCTGATTTCAGACCAACCAGCCGCTCTTTTTGAATCATAAGAATGCTGGTGTAGGCTTCCAGATAAACGCGAGTTGATGATTTCACAGCCTGGCATATGTGTACGTTAGTTGATCGGGGTGGTAAATAGCGTAGGATGATACCTCCAACCCTCGAAGTGTAATATCCATTTCATCCGAAAGTCCCAGACCGATGATATAAAACATAGCGATGGTGTCGGGTGCGATGAGTGGGTGCAATAGATAATAAAAAGACTGATGTAGATCAAATGGTGCAGAGTTTGCAACCTATACGTGCTAATGCGCCCGGTAATTATCGGATATGGTGTAACGGCTAACATTGCCGCCTCTCAAATTTGAACGCGGCAGCTCGGGGTTCGATTCCCCGTATCCGAATTTTTATCGCGTTTTATGCACGCAGGGACCGAGTCAGATATGTATATGACTTCTCATCCCCAACCGAAGTAGGGGCTCCCATCAATGTGAGGATGCGTGTTAAGCAGTTGACCAATTATTTCTCCATCAGGATGTATCTACGAGCTCTCCAGCTTCTAGTCGATTTGACGATCACCGTGACGCGAGTATTAGACACCAAATTGAAGGCATTAGCGCAAGTCCGGTGGGTCACCCGCATCTTGCACGCCATATGTTTGCGATTGCCACATTATACATGGAAAACGGTTTCGGAATATTGGCCAAATCCCACATCTTGTGCTTCATTTTGAAAACTTGGCCATTTATCCATATGGGTATCTAGGGAAGCAGACTCCATGTTGTAGTAGTCAGTAGTTACTGTAATAGATCCAGCAATCTTTGAATTATATACTAGTATATGAGATTGGTCAATACACATGTCACTCGTCCTTATCCCCAATAACCCATGCATCAAACTGGAACAGCCCCGACGCGCGCAGCCGCGCCACAAGTACATCCCCAAATGCAGTCACAGGCGTGAGCAGGCCGCCGCGCCGAGCAAGCGGTGGGAGCGCTGGTGCCGGGCGCGATTTTGTGTCCCCAGCCGAGCCCAGATTAGAATCCAAGGGCGGGGGGAGTAAGAGGCACAGCGCAGATTCGGATATCATCACTACCATACCCACGTACTCAGCCTGCTGCAATGCAAAGCAAGAAGAGAACAAGAAAACGTACCGGCAGTGAGAAGATACCCCGGGTCGCCCTTGCCCTTGATCACACTGTGTGCGCGCATGGGGGGAGACGCGGCGGTCGTTGTGAGGTTCGTCGCAGTGACGTGGCCCGCGAGCAGGGCTCTGGATGTGGGGTGAGTAGGAGAAGGAGGAGGGGGATGGAGACCTACGATTCGGAGGGCCCTGAGCCGGGTTTTGGGAGGAGCTTTTTAGCGACCCAGCGTACCTGAGTGGGTTTGTTAGTGGGAGAGAAGGGAAGGGAAAAAGATACATACGGGCGGGACATAAGCCACCAGCCCCAACACCAGCAAAAACGCGGAGACAAACAACGCTGCGACGGGGCGCGATGACATAACCATGAACTCGTCGTACCGGAACGCAGGCCCATATCGTGCTTGCTTACTCTCATCCGTTGCCTCTGTGCCTGTCGTGTCAGCCATCACCGTCATAAACATGCTGACGCAGGACGATGCAGACAAAGGACATACCGTCGCGGGCGGCGAGCTCCTTGAGGCCCCATGTGCGGTCGACGAGCGCCTTATTCACGGGGCGCATGAAGAATAAGGCGCCCTGTAGGGTGCGGGGTGCGTGTGTGCGCGGGAAGATGCGGAGGGAGTGTAGGAGCTTCATTGGGACGGGCAGGCCTTTCACTGTATGCACCAGCCAGTCAGTGGTTTCCTTCAGAATCGGACAAGGGAAAGAACACACCAGGGGAGATGCTGTGGTCAAGAGCCGCGGCCCTGCGCTTGGGCTTGGGGACATCCTCGAACATGGTCATGACGCTGCTCAAGGAGCCGCCAGATATGCCGCCGCTGACGTCGAAGGCGGTGATGCTGGTGTCGAGTTCTACCTCCATGCCGGGGGCGGCGGCGCAGAGAGCCTGGTGCGCAAGGTACGCGGAGAGGTCGGAGGGAATGGAGTCCATCCCGCACGACGGGACGATGATGCTGCGTGTCTGTGTCGCAGCATAGTCGAAGCTGGAGTCACGGTGAGCGCGGTAGGTAGAAAGAAATAAGGGGAACATGCGTTGTGATCATTTCTTTGATCCAAACCGTCTCCCCAGTGAGATCGACGTAGTGCACGCCCTGCGCAACACATGCACGTACGACATTGGTGCCCCAGGTCCAATACGGTCCAACGGTGTTTAATACTACACGTGCGCGGCGCACAGCCTTCTCGACATCTTCGTACGCCAGCACGTCGACCTGCAGGCGCCCGACAGAGTCTGGGAGATCCAGGTCGCGTGCAAGGGTGGCGAGGCGTTCCTGCGAGCGCGCACCGAGGACAACGGTGAATGAGGCGCGTTGGGGGTGCTTGGAGAGATAGCGTGTGACGAGGCGGCCGGTGTAGCCAGTTGCGCCGAGGACGAGAATGTCGTAGTCCGCTACGGGGTTGAGAGGTATGCCGTCCATGACCGGGAGTTGGTGCTTTTTGCTGCTAGTGGAAGTGCTACTGTAGGTTATTTATGGGACCTGGTGATGGGACGGTTTGAAGACACAGCACATGATAATGATTTACAGCGCAGGCATAGTTGGCGTGGAAGACATGGATTCCCACTCGCCAGCCAATCATAGTTTGTTTACGTAATTGACTCGGCCGGCCGTCATTACGTGTCCACTCCAGCGGGAATTTTGAACAGGCAGCTGGTCGGCGATGGTTGAATCAGAATATCGTGTTACGTAGGCTCGTCCCCACCCGGCTTCGCAATTACATAATGTGCTCCCGTGATAAACACGGTTGGCGAGCACACTTGCGAAGCCGGCTGGGCTGTTTCGGGCCTGTTTTGGCGGGAAGTGGATTTCCCCGCCAGTCTTGATGGGCCGACTTCGTCAAAAAAACGGCCTCAACCTCGAAAAAAAGTCCCCAAAATGGGTATACGAAAATTCAAAATTTAAGCCATTAGAATACAATGGAGTATACAATTTTTTTACAAAAATTTTGATGAACTTGAGAGTGCGAGTGTGGTGTCGGTTTGAGGGGATTATTCTCGAAAAAAAAGTAGAAAACTTGCCTATACCATTCAATCCCGTTTCTCTTGAAAACAATTTTATAAACACCAAGTTTGAGCACTTTTTTTTGAGATGTAGCCATTATTTTCGACGAAGTCAGCCCATCAGGAATGGCGGGGAAATCCACTTCCTGCCAAAACAGGCCCGAAACAGCCCAGTCGGCTCACAAGCTCGCCCGTCTTTTTTGTCTTGTCATGTGGTTAGTAACGCTCACGGGTGACAGTCACACCAGAGCTTGTGAGCCGACTGGGGACGAGTCTACGTGTTACGCGAATGTACGGCTACAGAAAAAATCTCATGGCGATGTGATACCAGCACGTGAAAGAGACAAGCACTTGGCCAATCGGATCGCCTCCCAAAGAACAATCTCGGCCTCGGGAGTACCCTTAGCGAGAGATAAGATAATGTTCTCATGCCCTTGAAGCGAATTCTAGTCCAACTTGTCACTGGTACCCGAAAAGTGTATACTATACTTCGGATCTTGTTATTTTTGGTCAAACACACGGCGGGGATATCGTTGTTGATGAGCCTAAGACCAACATCGAGATGTGATGATGCGAGCATTCAGGAGAATCAGATACAAGTCGACTTGGGCGCAAGTACAATTGAAACAGTGTAAACCGAGCACATGCATATTCACAAGTTGACCCTGAAATTTCCGGAAATGATCCCGTGTGGATGAACCGGGCGCCTGATTTGAACTTGCCTTGTTCCGCCTTTGTTTTCACCACAAAACACAAAATGACCGTCTCCACGTCGTTGTAGTCGTCGCTGTCCTTGTACTGATTCCGTCATAAACCGCAGTCAGAGTCGTGTACAGCCATGCCGCACATCACCACTGTCTCCACAGAATCAGATTCATCAGACGGGTACGTTACGTGGCCCCATCACCCCATCTACCGCAGCTGACACAGTCCTATCGCAGGCCCGTATTCAGGCAGGAGTACCTCGACCACCTCGTCCAGCACGATGACAGCCCCCCGTCCCCACGCACAGAGCTGCTCTCCGACTCTGACTCCACCAGCCCCAATCCCCAGCGCCTCGTCGAACGGCACCATCGCAGGAAGCGCAGCGCACATAGCCGCCGCAAGCGCGAGCTCGCATACTCCCGTTCATCGTCCCAAGAGCTCATCGGCGTTATCATCAGCCAAGAGCGTGAGATCGACAAACTCCGCGATACACTCCACATGGCGTACGACCGCCTGCAGGAAGAGGCTCGGCGCGCTGCAGATGTCGAGCGCATGAACAGGGAGACGGCACAGCGGTTTCGGATCCTCAACGATAGCAGACTCAGTGCGATGCAGGAGGCCCGTGTCGCCACCGAGCAGCTTAGGATGTACAAGCTGCAGCTCGAGACTGCTCAGCTCGAGATTCAGAGGGCACAGCGTGTACTGCAGATGGTCGAGAAGCAAAAGGACGATGCAGAGGACGCGGCGGCACGGGCGAGGACCAAAGCGAGGAAGCTGACGCAGGAACGGCTGGTCGAGTCGGCGAGGGAAGCAGGGAGGCGGTCGGGGTATGACGAAGGATTCCAACACGCACAGGAAGAATTCGGGATCGAAGTGCCGCTTAGAGAAGAAGAACCAGCACCACCGCGGCATCGTCGCCAACATGCCGAACGTCCCCCAACAGCACAGGAACAAGAGGAACAGGAGGAGGAAATATACACCGCCCCGCCCCCCTCGCACGTTCCCCTTCGCCTTACGGATACATACGGCTCCCCCCAGGTCATCCGTATGCCTGAGCCCGCCCCTGTCGCCCCATCTGAAACCATCGTTCCCCCCGCTCCTCTACAAAGCCAAAACCACAACCCCGCCCCGGAGCCGCAGCCGGAGCCACAGCGCATGGAGAGCCCTGCGATACAGGTCTACCAGGTAGACGTGCCTCCGGCGGAACCCGCATCAGCATGGGCCACTCGTGCTCGGCCTCCGGACAACTACATCCCGCCCTCTACGTTTGACGGTTCCATCCCCGTCCCCCCGCCACACGAGTTTGCCGACCGCATCCCGCAGCAGGCGCGCCCAGCGGACACCACTTCACAATCCACCGCTCGCACGGGCGGCAGCCGCTCATGGTATCGCCCGCGCGAGGTCTCGAGTGTCGGAGTGCAGCAGCAGGGGGAGGCGCGCCCGCCGCGCACACGTGACTATGCATTCCCGCAGCGCCAGGCGTCCCTCGAGAGTGGCTCCGCCTCGACGCGGCTCTCACAGCTTGACCTAGTTAGCCCACCGAACCAGACGCCCGC